TGGATCCGTATCCTCCTCGCTTAGCCATCCAGCGCCTAAAGAAAGAATTTGCATCAGTAAAAGAATGATTCATATATCGAGATAGTAGTTATCCGAATGAGTTTTTTTTTTTTACCTTCAACAGGATTGTGTGCATAAACAGGTAATGCTTCTCCAGATGGTAAAGCTGCTGGTGATGTGTCCACGACTGCCTCCCTCGTGGTTGACAAATCATCAGTCTCAACATGCTGGTCTTGCTCTTGTAGTACAAGATCATGCTGCTCGTGTTCTTCTTCTTGTTCCTCAGCCACTTGTTCTTCAGCAACTTGTCTTGCTTGCTCCTCTTGCTTTTCGAGGCACCTAGTAAGAAGCACATCGTAGCCACCATCTTCGATCAGTCTCCATGCATCCACACCACCATACAGCTGAAGTCAAAGTGGTGGTAAAGCATCGTTTTCAAAGAAAACGAAAACAGAGACTTAAAAACCGAGGAACATACCTCTAGTAATTCCTTGATGGTTTCATTGATGACACGCTCATCAAACCCAAAGCTTCTCATGGCGTCTCGTGCTGCATCATCTCGCATCAGTCCAACCATCTGCAAAAAAAAAAAAAGAGGTGAAGAAAAGTGCCAATTCAAAACCTTATAAAGGAGAGAAATCATAGAAGGAAAGAACACCCTTCAAGGCTGAATTCTGCTTTTACTTCTCCTTCTCACTAAGAATCTCAATTTTGAACAAAAGAGAATTTCAAGAACAAAACAAACAAAACCAGAACCTTAATCAAAACCACTGATCTGTATAACCTAGTATGTAAGTAAAACAGTATACCTTTCTTCTTCCTCTAGGCGCCATTTGTTACTTTCAGTCTCTGGGTTTCTAAAACCAATCAAAACAAAGGCAAATTAAGAGTAATCAGTATTCAAAACTAGGCAACAACAAAAACAACAGTCATACGAAACAAGTTGGATAACAAGAACAAATGAAAAAAATTCTGCTCCTTTCCAGAAATTCGAAAGCAGTAACAGAATAGATAAAGCAAAAGATCCTAAATTTCAAAACCCAAAGAAACCTAAACATAAGCCAGAAATTTGAGAAAACCCAGAACTTTCTAAAGAAAAAAACCCAATTTTTTTTTGAAAATGTCGAAGTGTCGGAACAACAGCTTCGAATAAACTGTAAAAGAAACAACTTTTCAGCTCATTTCCACAAAATCGACACCAGTAAACATACGATCAAGCGAAATATCCTAAATTTCAAACCTTGTGAAACCACAAAAACCATCGACAAATTTTTCCTCGGGAAACAGCTAAAGATAGAGTTGGGTAAGACGAAATACCTAAGAATCGACGGATGATTTCTTTGTCGAGCGACCCATTTGATTCTTGAACCCCGAGACGAAACGAAGCAACCGGAAAGCAAAGGTTATGCAAAATCCTTTTTCAGTGAAGAGTGAG